CACACACACACACACACACACACACACACAATCAGAATCAGCATCCAAATCGCTGTTTTTTTTTTTATCTCTGAGGAGAAACTGCTTGAAAACAGGAGACAAACTCTGGACATGAAATGCAGACAGCCTGAGATGCCTTCAGAGAGAAACGTCTGGACTGGAACGTGTAAATAAAGCATCTATGGATCATCCAGGAGTCTCTGTTGGTGAAGCTGCGTGCTGCTACCAGCTACATGAACGCAGAGAAGTCCTGAAGGAAACTACAGCTTTAAGGCTGGAACTGTGGATTCCTCCACATGGCATCAGTAACACCTCCACCTAACACCTCTGATGACAACAGCAGCAGCATCTGCAGGACCACTGCTGCCTCCTCTCCGGCTTCGTGTCAGGGCAGCGTCACACCGAGGGGACAGCTGGTCCTGCAGCTTCTGCAGTGACTGTCTAAATAAAGAGTCAGAATACAGCGTGGAGGGATTCATATTCAGGTCCTGGTCCACTGGTGTCCTGCTCTGTGTCTAACAGAAGGTTGTCATGAAGATGCTCAGCACGCTGTAAGAAGCTTCACCTCCCAAACTATTATTTGAAGAGCCAAAGAGGAACCAGTGTGTCTCACCTTGGTAACAGTGTTCTCATCCACAGTATCGGCTCCCATCTCCTTGTTCACGTAGAGCAGAGCAAAAAGGTAGCCAGCTCGGCCGTACAGCAGCTCGTCTGGCATCTCGGAGTCTGAGCTCAGCACCGAGCGCTGCAGCTGAAGGAGCCTGAAAGAAGCACAAGAACCGCTGATGAGACGGAGATTATCCTCAGACACACAATGAAAGGATCCTGCTTCAGTGTTTTCCTGCACACGGGCAGGTCTCCTCCAGAACCGGGTGGCTAACAGTACTCTACCTTCGTCTTAATAACAAATAGGAGAGCGCAAACGGCAAACAATGACTGTGTCCTACTGTGTGTGGTGTGGTAGTTCTCCTGGGCCTGTGCCACGGAGACCCACTGTAGGCCTAAAACCATGAAAACACACCAGTGAGGCCGGCTGACCTGATGCTCCGTGACCGGGAACACACACCATACGCCACATGCAGCATCATCAGGCAGCAGTACCACCCCATCAGTCATGTATCTGTGTGATGGGGGACGGTGTGGCCTTCAGTAAGCCTCCCTCTATATCGGCTGTGCAGGAGGAGAACCGATCTGAGCTGCTCTCATTAATATGAGCTACTTGGACCACAAAATAAATTCTACTGATGTTGGAGACCTCAAAAGCTAAAACGTTCACCAAAGACTGTATGTTTAGTCAGACATGAAGACACAACTATAAACATACATACACCCACAAAGTTTGAATGTTTTTCTCTATTTTCAAAAGCAAGTTAATAAAGACTGAAGCCATTAAATCATTTGGATCTGCTATAAACTGTGTCCCTGCCAACCTCCACGGCTGTGGGAGATGTACCTCCAGAGGTCAAGTCTTCAAATGGCTTCACAGGTGAGACAAATACAAACATTTCCTGGTCTGAAAAACATTCTCAAAATGCAGCCGAAATATATCTCAGAAATTTGATCCCCAGTGACAAAAGGTAACCTCTGGACAGAATCTGAGAAGGTGGTGGAGTGCAGAACCTTTGGGCCCTGCACAGTTCAGGAAGACGATAAACCTCTCTGAGCAGCATTCTGGAGGCTGTGGATAAAGAAGAGAAGAAAAACCTGCAGACTCCATGGATGGAAGGACTTTAGCAGACAGAGCGCTGGGCAAGTTGGTCACTGAGCAAATTCAAAGGCAGAGATGTTCTTTGTCTTCACATGTTGATGAAAACTGAGAATGAACGAGTGAGTCTGGAGGAAATCTTCTTGTAGTTCAGTTGTGTAGAAACTGTGCTCACGTCTGCATCCCCCTGAGAACAACACTCAGTCCTCCTTTGTCAAGCAGTCAGGTTTGAGGTTTAATCACATTATGGATTAACCTCAGCATGTTTCTGGACTGTGGGAGGAAGCCGGAGAACCCGGAGAGAACCCACGCTGCACGGGGAGAACATGGAGACTCCACGCAGGAAGATCCCGGGTGTCCTCACCGGGACACCAACCGGCGACCTTCTAGCTGTGAGGCCACGCTGCTAACCACTGAGACACCTGCAGCCCTCTTCCACTGAAAACAGGCCCAAACAACTTTCCTCATAACATCTGCTAAACCCAACAGCGTCCTGCTAGTTTAGGAAATTACAGATCCTTTAAAAAACAGGGAGGAAAATATTTTCTCTTTATTTTGTGTCTTCAGCAGAGAACCAATGAGCTTGGAGCTGAGAGGCCCAGATCGTCTGAGTGAAGTGAGGAAACACTGAGACAGACTCATACACCGCTAGGTTTTCATAGGATGTGTTGGCAGCAACAACAATACACAGCGGCCTCAACCTTTAAAGCCCACACAGTCCATTAGGAGTACATCACAGCAGGTGTAGCGATCAGTCGGGTATCTGAAAATCAATACAGGAGTCAGACAACAATAAACACACAGATCAAACCCAAACTGAGCTTCTAACAGGCCCGTGTCAGACAGAAGAGAGGCGTCTACACCAGAACCCGTCCAGCCACTCACCTGGACAGGCAGTCGTTGCTGTCGGCAGCATTGTTCAGTCTGTGGTGCACCACAGCAGCCACAGCCAGAGGTCCCGCATCGCCGCACAGGAAGGTCACTTTGCGACCATTCAAGGTCCTCATGGCCCGTTTCACGTAGTCCAGGGCCCTTTGCAGGTGTGAGGCCTCGTGAGAGACCCGGTGCAGCTGGAGGTACAGCAAGGCGATGCCTGTAGTGAGAAGATGACATGTAGGAGATGCTACAGCTGATGGATCCTAGAGCTGGATGTTCATAGTGGCTGCACACAGACCTGTCCAGCCGGTGTACGTGGAGAAGTCGTGGGGGTCTGCCGTCTTCAGGCCCTCCTCCATCTGCTGGAGGAGATCCTTGATCTTATTCTGGACCTTCTTCTGGAAGGCTGCACTGACCTGAGGAGGAAAGATACCAGACTGAAAACCCCATTCCTTATCTACTGAAGGGAACCATGCAACCATAAGTTCTGCTACACGCTGAAAACATGACGGTCTGCTCAATAAGCCCAATTAATCATGATTATTAATCATGATTATTCATTTATTCTACAGACAAAATATTGTCTATGCTCTTCCACAGTGCAGTAAACCAGAGTCACATCCTGACTAATGTACAAAGATTTGAAACAAGGTTCTCCTTCACCTTAACACAGAGCATCTCTCAGTGGCACAATATAAATAAAATTATACCCAGAACGCCTCATCTGCTGAACATCTGCTTATGGACAGTCACCACTGTTGTCTAACCGCCTCGTGGGCAGGTCATGGTAGACGTCAGCAGGCCGGTGGAGCACAGAGAAGCCTCCAGTCTCCACTCAGTTACTGCAGCAGCTCAGGCAGGTTGGACCAAAAACTAGTTCGTAGGGCTTTCTGATGTCAGGCGTAGCTGCAGCCATTTTGAAAGAGCAAATCAATCACGTTCATTATTCACACGTAGGAAGGTGAAATACACGACGATCCCACACTGAGGCTGAATTCATTACCTTTCCACTAAATATGATGCTTCCTCTCCTGTGACAGATGTGATGGTATTTGTGAGGCCTGAGTGCAGCATCCAGACAGACTGGTAAACAGATGCTGACGCCACCCGTACAGATAGCGCTGCCCTTCACAGCGTGCACCATCCTGCTGCTAATGGCTCGATCTGATAACCCACAAACAAGGTTTTCATCTTCACAAGTTAATGAACCAGCGACCTGAAGCTCTACATCTGCCTTGCTAATTCCAGTGGTTCTAAATGCCTGGGAGCGTGTCCTGTGTGTAACACTCTGTCAGCCGTAGTGAGCTGAATAGACGCTCAGATATCAGTCAGCAGGTTATGACCAGGCTGCTCGTGATTAGGATTCACTTCAGCAGACACGCCATGCTAATGAGGCTGTTTTCCACAAGGCTCAAGGCTCTATTTACCCTTTACAAATCTAACATCATGGGTCAAGACTGTGCTTAAAAGGCTGGTTTGATCATGGATTTGAAATTAATTAATCCCCTACAGACTCCGGTCACACTCAGCCTGCAGTGTGGACCTCATGAACAGGAGGGCTGAGCAGCTGCTGAAGTAAAGCAACTACAGAGACTTCAGTGAGCTCCTCTCACCAACACAGATGGGAGTCTAAGAGTGTACAGGGAGTACATGAGGCCCATTCACTCCCGTCCACTGGCCAGTTAAACTAACAGGAATCTTAAAGAACAGGCGGATCACCTCTGGCCAGTCTCTGCTGCTGCTGCTGCTGCTGAAAGTCATTCATGCACAGACTGTTGTTTAATGTCTGCATTCACCACGTTACTCAGTGTACAACGGGATGTGAGGGTGAGTAAACAGACATGGGCGACAAATCAGAAAGCCAAACGGGTTTCATTTAAACACAAATCTTGAAAAAGCTGAAAAACACTCACATGTTGCAGCGAGAAGGAACTGGATGCAATGTAGGTGTTATCTTTGATCATTTTTCTCATCATACTTGATATACGAGGACTGACTGGCTTGACACTGCAACAAAAGACCAGAGGCTGAACTACGAAGCCAGATCAGCAGGTCAGCAGGTATGTTGAGTTTTACGTCAGAGTTCTCAGAGTCACGAAGGTGGCTGTCATTTTACCTGCAAG